GGATGTTAGCACGCTCGAGGTTTGGGGCGTGATAGGACCACATTGAACATTAGGCTAAAGTTTAGGGATTATATTGAATAAATTAAAAGTTCAAGGCCCAAATTACATATTGAGCTAAAGTTCATGGACTGTTTGAGTCATTTTCCTTTTTTTTATTCACTCATTGTTGGAGACGCCGTTTATAGCAAGTTGTTTTCTGGTTTCCTAATTTGTTTGCTCTGTTCACGTTGGTAAATTAATGTGGAACCACTCACTTTTTAAACTTCCAGCTAGTTCTAACTTCTAAGCGTGCTGCAAAAACTGGAGTTGATGGAGTAAATCTAAAGGAAGGAAACCACTTGGAAAGTTTAGCTCCAATTGGATGAAATGATGTGAGGTTTATAGCTTTCAAATCATATATTGGAAAGATTTTGGAAAACAATGATTATATATATTTTTTTATTCAAATTGGCCAAACTTTGATCGGACATAACCTCTCTGTACAACGTCTCATTAACTCGATTTTTTGTATCAATGGAATGCCCCTGACCCGATTGTTCTAAAATTGCAATTTGATTCTTAAAAAAAGTTGGATTGCGAATTTCTATAAATCGGATTGAACGGACAACCATGATAGATTCTTTTAGAATTAAATTGCCAAGAATTAAATTGTACATCGTTTTATATCCATTTTATAACGTTGCTGTCTTGATGTTATCAAATATTATTCTTTGTGGCCGACAATTGGAATTTAAACACAATCAACATAAAAGCATATGTTGATAAAAAGCAATTGATAAAAGCAATTAGTTGCGCGAAAGTTGTTGGAATTTAAACTGTTTTGATTGATGAGATGTTCATTATACACATGTCACAATATCATTAGGGGTTAATATTACTATACCAAAAATCTAGAAATGGCACGCCCGAAAAAATCCTTAACCGTTTGGATCGTGTCACGTATATCCTAAATTAATTTTCGTATCACAAAAAATTTCAAATCAAAACATTCATGCTCCATTTACCCCAAACGATTCATGTCACAAAAAATTTACCATGACTTCCGGTTTGAGGCTTATTGGCTAGATGACCCAGAATGTAGAGACATTGTGGAGGAGGCATGGCATGACCAGGCAAACGATAATGCAGATTTTGTGAGTAAGTCCAGAAAAGTGGTTGAAGCCTTGACTAGGTGGAGTAGGAGGAGATTCTCAAATGCACATAAACAAATACAATGCTTGATGAGGAGATTAACGAACCTGATAAACAGTACGGATGGGGGAAGGGAAAAAGTGGCCATTCAACAAATCAAAGAGCAAATTGAGAGACTATGGAGGCAAGAAGAGATGTATTGGAGTATGAGGTCCCGAATTAGCTGGTTAAGTGGGGAGATAGAAATACCAAATACTTCCACGCCACCACGATTCAAAGAAGACAAAGAAACAGAATCTCTATGCTGAAAATGGGGGAGAATAGATGGAGCAGGGATCCTTCAGAGCTCAAGTCACATATCCAATCATTTTATCAGGATTTATATGAGTCAATAGGACACAGAAATTTCCAACCAGTAATTGATTAATGCCCATATACTCCAAAAGAGGGGATGAACGAGGCCTTAATGAGAAAAGTGTCGTTTGAAGAGGTGAAAAAAGCTGTGTTCCAAATGGGTGCAACCAAGGCCCCCGGTCCGGATGGATTGAATGGCCAATTCTATCAGCATAACTGGGAGAGTATACAGCATGATGTCTACTGTTTGGTGGATAATTTCTTCACCTTAGGTGTGCTCAACCCCACCCTAAATCATACTTCTATAACCCTTATTCCTAAGGTGGCGAACCCCGAGTGCATTAATCAATATAGGCCAATCAGCTTATGTAATTTCAGTTACAAAATCATTTCTAAAGTCATGGCCAACCGTCTAAAACCTTGGCCTTCTAAACTTATTTCCACTAAACAAAGTGCATTCGTGAGTGGAAGGCAGATTCAAGACAACATATTAGTAGTTCAGGAAGTACTCCACCAATTGCGTACTAGGAAAAGGGAAAGAAAGTTCCAAGCAATACTCAAGCTGGACATGCAGAAAGCTTATGATAGAGTTGAGTGGGATTTCCTGTGTGCTAGTATGCTGAAAATGGGCTTCAGTAACAGATGGGTTCAGTTAATCAGGGAATGCATATCTATGGTCTCTTTTAGCGTCCGAGTTAATGGGGAATCCCTACAGGACTTCCAACCGTCCCGGGGCATAAGGCAAGGGGATCTACTATCGCCGTACTTGTTTATTATTCTGGCCAATGCCTTATCGTCTCTAATGAACAAAGCAATTGAGGAGGGTACCATCAGAGGTATAAAGCTGAATAGATGGTGTCCCACATTATCACATCTATTATTTGCGGACGACGCAATTTTTTTCTTGAATGGAACAGTCTGCGAATGTCAGAATTTGGCAAGTATTTTGAACCAATATTGCTATGCTTCGGACTAGGCTATCAAATTAAACAAGTCAGGTATCTTCTTTAGCAATGGATGCCCTGAGTTACTGAAGAGGAATATGGCGGAGCAGCTACGAGTTCCTATTATTGACAAAACAGGTAAGTATTTAGGCATTCCATCAGATTGGGGGCAGTCAAAGAAACAAATGTTTGCCTGGATATTAGCAAGAGTCAATATGAAGCTAGAGGGGTGGAAGGAAAAGCTGATTACCAAAGCAGGGAAGGAGATCCTAATTAAAACTGTCATTCAAGCTTTGCCACAGTACGCAATGTCCATTTTTAAGATTCCTATCTCGATTTGTCGAGCAATTGAGCAGAAGATTTCCTCCTTCTGGTGGAAGCAAAGTGCAGACAAAGCAGGTATCCATTGGAGAAAATGGGAACTTCTGAAAATCAGGAAAGACGCGGGTGGCTTAGGCTTTAAGGACCTAATTGTTTTTAATAAGGCAATGCTGGGAAAACAAGCCTGACGACTAATACAAGCACCGAATGCCCTTTGGAGTCAGGTACTGAAGGGAGTCTATTTTCCCCGTGGTGAGTTTTGGCAAGCAAACAAGGGCCATCGCCCATCCTGGGGGTGGCAAAGTCTATTAATGGGCAGAGATGTAATTGAAGCAGATGCTAGATGGAAAGTAGGTGACGGCAAAAAGATAAAAATTAAAGAGGACGGGTGGCTCCCTTCTGGCAAAATTATTGGCCCCTTGAACCAGAAGGCACCAAAATTAGTAGCAGAACTGATTAACCAGGAAACTCATGAATGTAAATCACACTTGATAAAGGAAATTTACGAGGAAGATGTGGTGCAAGAAATACTGACAATCCCATTAAGCACAAACCCTTCGGATGATACTTTGGTATGGACAAGGAACACAAAAGGAGTCTACTCGGTTAAAAGTGGCTACAATAGGTTATGCTCCCAAATTTCACAACAACAGAGGAATCAAGCATCACCATCATATCAGCCTCCCAGGAACTTATGGACTAAAATATGGCAAATCCTAGTCTACCCCAAGGTTCGTCATTTCTTATGGAGCATATGCACAAATGCTCTACCGACAAAAGAAAATCTGTATAGAAGAAAGATGGCACCTGACCCCCTCTGCCCGATCTGCCGCCGAGTCCCGGAGACCCCCGAACACCTGCTCCTCCTTTGCGACTGGACAAGAAACGTTTGGTTAGGCTCTCGGTTAAATCTAAACACCTCAGCTACCAAAATTTCCAGAATGGATAAGTGGCTTGCGGATTAACTGTCGAAAGACCCTCCCTCGTCGTGTGACACCCTCTCCTCCTTGGAAGACCTTCCCTCGTCGGCGATAGTGGCCGGCATAATATGGTTGATCTGGAAGGCACGAAACGCCTTGGTATTCCAGCAGCGCAAACCGAACCCATGGAACATAGTGGAAGAAGCAATCAGTGACTATAAAGTGTTTGAGAGGTGGAACACAAACAAAAAGGTAGGAACACAACAGTTGAAAACCTTAGTAGATCGTTGGTCTCCGCCGGCGAAGGGGAACCTCAAGCTGAACGTCGATGCGGCTTGGTGCAGCGAAACACGAGAGGCTGCAGCTGCGGGAGTCTCCGGAACCAAGATGGACTCCTAATTTCTGGGTTCGCGAGGTCTTTTAGAGCTCCATCAGCTAGCGTGGCGGAAACCCTTGCTCTACGCGACGGACTCTTCTTTCTGTTGAAGCTTCGAAGTCAAAAGGAAAGGGAAAGTGATCTGCACAGTGACTTCTCTGATCTGCGCGTGGAAGTGGAGTCAAACAGCCAAGCGTGCGTGAGGTGGATCTCGGGCCAAGAAGAGAGCCCGTGGACCGTGAGTTCAGTGGTTGAAGACTGCCGAAAATTGATGGCCCAACTAAAAGAGGTATTTTTAGCCCATTGTCCCAGAAACTCAAACCAGGCCGCGGATTGGGTGGCGAAGACCCAGCGTAGTCATTCCTTAACTCCAAATTGGTTTTCTAAACCTCCCCGTACCCTTTGGTCTCTCTTATGTTATGATTGTGGAAACTCATGTGAGTCAATTTCTAGTGTCTAATGAAAAGTTCAGCGTATTTTCGTCCCAAAAAAAAAAAAAGCTAATGATTTGAGCTTGAGATCCGAGAAGTGAAGGAAATAGACGAGAAGATTTTTCTTAAATTGAATTGATCAACGGACTCCATTTCTGGCGAAAAAAGGAAAAAAAATGGCTCGAACCCACGTTAATAGAGTTGGGTTTTGGAATTGAATACTTTACGTACACTAAAACGATAAGAAACAGGTAAATAAGGCCGATTATGAGAATTTTGGCGATATGAAAGTCTGGGGTAAAGCAGTATAGGTTTAGTACCAATTTGAAAATTTTTCGTGAAATTAAAAAATTATCTTGGATAAATACGACACAAGTGCATCGGTCCGAGAATTTTAGTGATACGAAAATCTTGGGTAAAATGTTTCGTATTGTGATTTTTTCCACGGCATCATTCGTAGCTTTTCAAGAGAGAATTAACTTTCTTTCTTGTCAGGCCGCCGATATTGATTCCTCGTACCCTTGACGCAAAATGAAGAATATTTAGGGGGGCAAACGCTAATGGAGGCAAACCCATCGCTCGCTCGCAGCAACTCACTCAGTTCGACAGCCGAGGCTCGCCGCCGGAAGCCATGACTTCCCGCGTGACGAAGCTCGACTACTACGCCGACATGTGGAGGCTCGTCTCCCAGTCCACGGTCGTCTCCTTCCTCGAGGTGAGTCGCTTCCCGTTCCTCCGGCCTCTGAGAAATCCAAGAAAGCCCGCGGTATGTTCGCGCATTTGCATTCCATGCGTTGTTTCTCGCCGAATGGCTATCTGGGTATCTTCCGTTTTTGGTGGGTTTGTCGTAGCTGCTGCTGCAGCAAATGTAGTCTCCGTGTGATCGAGTTGAAAAAGTCGTATTGACCGATCGATCTTGAAGTTGATTTGTTCTTTTTTTTTTTTTGGGAAGGATGATGATGGTCGGAGTGCTTTGGTGCTGGACTCTACGATCTTCCATCCCCAAGGCGGCGGGCAGCCGGCGGATATGGGCTTCATCACCGTCGAAGGTGATGATCGGGAGGTGAAGTTTGCCGTGCAAGATGTCCGGTTGAAAGATGGACTTGTAGGGCCGGCGGCATTTCAGTCGTGTTATGCTTTTCTGATGAAATTTCTTGTGATTTCTTAGTAGTCAAGCTTGACGTCGGTTGTGTTGCTTGCTCTCCTCTAGGTTTACCATTATGGTCACGTTGAGGATTTGGCTGAGGGCGGTGTGGTGGAATTTGAGGAAGGAAAGGAGGTTCACTTGCACGTGGACGAACCTAGGCGCAAGCTCAACTCCAGGTATCTTTTAACGAGAAAATAACAATGAGATAGTCTAGATGATCAGTGATTTCTTTGCCCTTTACTATATGTTCCCATATGCTTGTGAAACATATAATGTTTGCTATGTCACTTAGTTTTGTCTGCATTTGGCATTTCCCACATCAAAAGAAACAGCATCCTATGTCCCTTTCGTCAGGCCTTTAGATACCATGTTCTGTCTTTGAATTGAATCCAAGTTAAAACAGAGTTTGATGCTAATCGTGGTCATATGATCATTACTTTCAGTGCATGGTTGCATCGCACAAGTTTTAGATGATAAAGAGTCAAAGTTGAACCCTATTATCTGCAGCAATCTCTTGATTAATCTTCTGGGATTCCCTTTGGTGCTGTTTTGCTGGTATGATGGAGTCTGTTTCAATGATCTCTTGACTCAATCAGGTTGCATTCAGCTGGGCATTTACTGGACGTATGTATGAAGAGGGTGGGACTTGGTTTGGAGCCAGGCAAGGGTTACCATTTCCCTAATGGGTATGATCTATGAGTTAATTTAGTTGTATCATAGCTACCTAAAATCGCATGATAATAAAGCCTACACAATTCAGTAGTTATGCGAGGATAATACGTAGTTTTAGCTTGGTAGTCATCATTTCCTCAATGTGTATTACCTTGAACTCGATTTGATGCTATAATCACAATAAGGGTTCTAAAATTTTTGGCCGAAGTGCAGTTTTATTTAAAGCTTTCCATTTGTTCAATTAAGTCCTCAAACCTTTAGGAAATGTTGGATAAAGTCATTGTGTTAAACTCTAGCGGATTCCTATATGTGGCAGTGCCCCAACACGCAGGATCTCCATGAAAGTTAATGGACCAGTTTAATGAAGGACTTGCTTGATCTTTGGATAAAAGTTTTAGGAGTTATTTGCACCAAAGAAAACTACTAGGAGTTATTTGCATGAAAGTAAAGTTGTAGGATGCAATTGCACTTTGGACATAAGCTTTAAGACTCAGTAAATTTATCCAAAGAGTCACTAGCCAAAACAGAAAACTCATCCAAAGAGTGGGAGTATAAGAATTTGTAACTGGTGCAGTTTACTTAGATTTATGCTTACTAAGACTTTTCACTTTTTGCCCACGCACTACAATCGGTCTTCAAATTTTCTGGATGTGGCATTTTCGTATGTTGTTTTGGATATTTGGGTATTGGAATAGGGTACCATCGATGATCATTTTTACCAGGCCATTCACATTATTGAAATGCAAGATCCTGCTAAATAGGCGAAATTAAGGTGTACAAGCTTATATATTATTTTGCTCCTTGAGACTTCTATATGGATGTTCCAGAAGTAGCTTTCTCGGAAGGACAGCTTCTTGTTTCTGCTGGATGCCTGGAATGGTTTTTAAGATAATTTTTTTTGCCATTTGTTGAATGTGAGCCCATATATTGTTTTACTTCTTGAGACTTGCAGCATAGATTTTCCAGAAGTAGGTTTCTCTGTACAAGTAAAGCTTCTTGTTTCTGCTGGATGCCTGGAGCTTGTTTTTTAGATAGACTTTTTTTCCAGACCATTTGTTGAATATAAAGGCGTTATTCCGCCAAGTGAAATATCTAACAAGCAGAAGGAATTGGAGACGGAAGCTAATGCATTGATATCTAAAGGAGAGGAAGTAAGATGCTACTTTACTTTTCCTTTTGTTGAAAAATAGACTTTTAATGGTTGGTCGTGTTGCTTCATATGAAAATCTTACTCATTTTATTGATACCTTACAGGTTTCTGCTGCGATATTACCTTATGATGAAGCTTTAGAGCAATGTGGCGGTTCCCTTCCTGATTATATTCCCAAGGTCAGCAGTTCATATACAACAACTATCGCCCCTGCGGCCTTTAATTCAGATATCTTCCTGCATTGTTAAGCTTTATGCTTTGTGATAAGAAGCAAGGTTTCCACAACGGGACCAGACCAGATATTTCAATTGGTGGAACTGGTCCTTGATCTGCTACTCTGCTTACGTACACAAATGATATTGGTACAAAACAGATTACAATTTGCATTGACCCAGTTCAACTAGACGAACTGGTGAACCCGGTTTGACCATTCTAGAGCTTTTTTGATGGGTGAGAGTGAAATGCAAGGATCGGGAATCGAACCACTCTCCCCTTGGGATTACTGGGCATAACCAGCAGCCAAACTTTCTACTCACTACCGGAGACCCCATTGATGTCTATAAGAAAGAGTTAAGTCTATTCATCTAAAGAATGAATTAGTTACTCCCACTGGAAAAGTTTGTGAGATGGTGCTGATGGGAATCAATCTTGCGCCCCCCATAACATGTGCGCTTCCCTGCCATTCCTTCTGGCCAGCATTTGTTTGCCTACTTGTCTAACATCTGGAAATGAAATTGTCGGTTTAACCTGTTGAACTGCGAATTGACTGGCTTTTACACTGGTATGGGGTTTAATAACATTAATAAAAAGTAATGTGCTGCCTAGTGCCAGTTTTCTATTTTTCACTCAAACCATTAAATATTCATATAAATGCCTTGACAATCTGCTGGCACACCCGTTTTCTAGGAATGAGAAGATTAAAATGAGAATGAGATGTTTCATTCAGTTTCATTTGGTGTTTGGTGACTTGGAATAACATGGAATGAAATGGATATTGACAACAAAAGAGACTTCATTACCACATTCTCATTAGTGTGGGGGAAAGGTGTGAATGAATTTGAAGGAATTGCTATGACTAAATAAAAAACGGAAATTCCATAGATAGCAAAACATTTTATGGCATGACAACAATTAAATCAAGAAATGTGGCACGATATCTCTCTTTTTCCTTTTATTTAATTCGTTTTGGCAACTTTTGATGTAAATTTGTAGTATATGCTTCTCTGTTATAACAAGTTTCGATCATGTTTCCAATCATAAAAACCTCCATTCCGATTCCAAGGTGTTACGAAGCATGATAGTTTAAACTTTATTTACAATTCAGATTGCCAAATGTTTATTCTGATTCTTTTTACTTCATTTCATTTGTTTCTTTCCAACGAATCAAACAGGGCCTCAATAGTTTTATACTGCAAGGCTCCAAAAGAAGATTTGAATATCATTCATCTTACGGTTTCCGGTTGCTACTTGTAGATGTGTGTTGCGTGAAGTATATTGTACATAACTCATCTTGTTTGCCCATATGGTTACTGGTTGTTCCCATCGTTTATATGCAAAGCATTTGATATAACCGATATATTGCAACTATTGCAGGAAAGCACTCCTCGCATTGTGAAATTGGGAAGTAATCCTGGTTGTCCATGTGGTGGTACCCATGTTCATAATCTATCAGAGATAATTAGCATGAAGGCAAGTATTCAGCTGCACATATTCTGAATAATAACTATGGGATTGTTAATATCTGATCTAATTTACTCTATTACTTTGCAACTGAAAACAAGAGTACGATGAGAATATACCCCCTCAAGGTCTTGTATGACACTAGAAAAACTATTAGAATCAAGTCCAATTTCTCTTGACTTTTATCGGTTATGTTGTTTTTCAATGTTTCATAGCCTGCTGTGTTCTAAGGCTCTTCGATAATTGTTCAGGTTTCCCAAATTCGCGTGAAGAAAGGCGTGACAAAAGTCTCCTACACTGTGGTTTGATTTTGGTCCTAATTAGAACTCTTAATGTTGGTATCGAATGTATGGCGGCTTGGTTTTAGGAACAGACATCAAAATGATATGGAGCCTATAGTAAGGTATGCCCCATCTTACCGGACATTGGTCCCTTGGTGGGCGTTTTCTGAATTTGGACTTCGGTAACTATGTGTGTAAGTAATAGTTCGACGTTTGCTTAGCATATGGAAGTTCCTATTGTTACATATGTCTCTCTCTGTCTCTCTCTGTCTGTCTGTCTGTCTCTCTCTCTCTCTCTCTCTCTCTCAACAAGCTCTTTAAGTCGTCGTTAATCGTGGTGCTTTCGAGGAACTTCGAGAAAGATGAGATGATAAGCTCTTTATCGCCAGTCGCATTAGACAAGTTTTGGAATATACGCACAACATGATCCTTTCTGCTTGGCTGAGAGAAGGATGTCATGCCATTTGGCGTCTGCGGGCTCATGTAGTTTACTAGTGATTGTCGTTGCATTTCGTTTATGTGTCACGAAAGCAGATTAGCTGCGAAGTTCGGAACCGGCTCATCTTCTTGTTGCTTCCCGGCCTAACCGAAAGCTACTCCTCTGTCAAGATTTCCCTGCTCAATGCCAGCTCTTCATTCTTTTTGCCCCCCTTGAGATTGAGACGTTGATCTATGCCCGAATCCTCTGCCTGGGGATTTTACTTGCATCGCAGATCCCGTGAAGCATCGCGAATCAGATATTTAGTCGATGCTATAGTTTCGGCTCCTGTTGACGTTGATTGTGTTTTTGGAGTATTCCTGCTGAACGGTAGTTTAACGTCCACGTTGATCCGTTATGTGAGCTTGTTCCGGTGGCGACGGACCGGGACAACACATCGATGCAAGGCATCGATCTCTTCGGGAAATCTGGGTACGACTAAAGTAGAGGCAGTCCTGAGAGATGCACTGTGGTCCATATATCAACTGCTTGGGGGATATCATCTGGGGCTCCACTCTTCTCAGGTGCCTTTGTCCCTCTTGTGCTGCTGCAGCCCCGTTCAGTTCACTTGGCCTCCCTTCGTGTGGATAAATTTCTCAGGAAATCTTATGATTCGACCGGAAAAGGCACACGGGTGCGCTTGTTTCGCTGAAAAACTATAATCCGAAAGTATCTTCTTATCTTCCAATGCTCCTCGACGCGCTCTAGTGGAATAAGTCATCGAAAATTGTTTTCATACTCTGGAAAATCTATACAAAATCCTAGGAAAAAACTTTTAACACTTTCCACGAAGCAGAAGGTGTATCTCGGAAGATGTCGCGCCCTAGACCCGAGGGCTTGACGACCGGTTCCGGGTCACCAACAGTCGGATCCACAATCATTCGACCCCCCGGCTCCACGGGTCTAGCCTGTCGAGGGTTTCTACAGCTTTCGAGCTAGGGCAACAACCGGACCCGACCCGGGTCGCCGCCGTTTAGCTTCCATTGATAATTTTAACTCTTCAAAGTATTGGCATTTCCTCACCCATGCGTGTTGATGTTGACACAGGGAAAACATAATCATAAATCAATTTTCCAAATTGTTTCCTCGTGAATTTTTTTTTTCATTAAAGTTACTTTTTCATCTCGTTTTGACTCCATTGAATCCGTCCTTTGCATGATTAAAGAAGGCTTCCTTTACGAGAGGCCACTAAAAGTTTTCAAGTCAAACTATCAATTTCTCAAAGCAAAGTGATCAACTTTTAATTAGTGAAAAAAATCATGGACCTCCAAATTGATATAAGAATCTAATAAAGCAGCTAAAAATGCCCGTGCAAAATAATTCGATTTCGGGTGGACGTGGGCTCTCGGCTGTCCATCACCATCCTGCGTCAATGACCCAAATGCATCCGATTTCATCGAGAAATAATTAGCAAATGAAAAAAATTATCATTATTGATAATAATTTATGTTTAAATATTTTCGTGAAAGATGAAATTTTTTATCGTTTATTCAATTTTGTAAGCGATAGATCGATCATTTTAAAGAAATTTTTTTGGAAATCATTTATTTTTCGCGAAACAAAACGGAGCTTAAAAAGTTGAGATTCCATGTATTGACCTAATGCTTTATATTGCAACTCGACACGCAAAAGAGCCGGGTCAGACTTTTCTATACGGGCGTCATCTTCACTTATCTGTTTAAGTACTGGTAAATTAAATTTCTCGATGTTTGCTTTTCTTAAAAACAAAATTCTCTTCCTAAACTAAGACAAAATTTGGCAGCTCGATTTAGCCAAAAAAGTTTGGTCGATGTGATTTTAGTCGGGCCATATGTCCCAGTAATTGGAAAAATATTTTTTAAAGTTATTCATTTTTTCGCGAAACAAACGGAACTTTATTTCTGGTCATTTTTGGTAAAATTTGTTGTCTAAGCATGTGAACTCAATTATGAATACGTAATCAAGCAAAACTCCACATCAAAAGAAAAGCAATTAAACTTGAAGCTAATTTCTAATTCAAAATCGTTTTGGTTTATTAGTCTTCTGACACCTAATTGGGTTGGATTGCTTGCAATCTAAGCCTTCGAATGTGGAAAATCAAAGTTGACTTGCACGCATGTTCGTTCCAGATTTAGCAAAATGTTGAAAGTTCCTTTTCCGCCAAAATCTGAAATATCTTATAAAATTTCAAATAAATTATCCGAAAAGATTGCTCGTGAATTTACGTGTTAATATCTGTTTGTCATCAAAATTTCAAGGGTTTCGAATTACAGTGCGCAACATTTTAATTAAGAAAGAAAAAATGAAATGTAAAAGTCGATTCGAACGGATCAATTTCGTGCATGAACAATTTCTCGATGCGATGAAATGCCAAAGGTGAGAAGGAAACTGAGATTATCTCTCGTTATCTCATCTTCTCGACAAAAATAATATTATACGAAATCGAGAAGTACCCGTTTTTAGAACTTTCTCGAGTGTCGTGATATATTGGATTAGCTTTTAAGTACGAGCTTAGTTCATTTCTTCGATCCGGTCAAATGTAGTATGTCATTCGCATCGAAACTTGATTTGCAAGGAAACTATATTAGTTGCTTTGCCTAGATCAAAAACAATCTGAAGTTGGAAAGATGATTAGACAAAATCACAGCTAGCCACTTTATGATTTTGCTTTATTTAGATATCTATTTGATTTTTAGATAATATCTAGAATCTTGAGCGATTTTGTTTCGCTTTAATCGGTCAAATTGATTAGATTTCACACAATATTCTTAAAACATTAAAGGAATTCTCTCTATTATTGCGCAAGTTTGCATGTTGGCAGGTTGCGACTTGTGTTTGCAAGTTTATGGCGTGTTTTTTTGTTATTCTATTCCCAGGACCACGTGTGGAATAGATACCCGTCTGGTAACACAATTTCATTTTCCTATTTCTGAAATAAATTTCTACCCCAGAAATAGATTTGGAACATAAATCAGAAGTAAAATTTTTTATTTTTCAATTTCTGGAACAGAAATGAGAAATAAAAACTATTATCATCGCTCGCCCTTACTATTAATCGGCCGCCCACCCGCTGCTTGCCAGCCGCGCCACCGCCTCTCACCGTCGTCCTCTGCCACTGCCATCTTCCGTCGCTTCTCAACGTCAGCCGTCGCCTGCCCCCTCCCGCTACTATCCTCCACTGCCAGCCGCCTGCCACTGCTGTCCTCCGCCACCACCCATCGGCCAACTTCCGCTGCCAGCCGCCGTCCTCCACCACCCGCTCGCCAACTACTTAGAAGAGAGAAATTTCGTGCCGTTATCAAACGAATTTCTATATAGGAAGCAGAAATTTTGTGTAATTGTCAAATACGTATTTTTGCTCAAAAATTCGTCCATGAAATAAAGACCAGAAATTGATTTCTAGAATATAATAGTTATCATTCGCGCATTTAATGTTTCTTTTTTAAACAGATTCGTATTAGCACCCGTTTTTGCTACATGTGCCTCACTCTACATTCATATATTGACCTACTCGATATTATTTATTATTCTATTTGGTTCTATATATGTTTTACAAGCCGGTGTGTGTGTGCGCTATGCGTTGTGTGGAGGTATCGAAACCCAGCTTCCTCACTCATGCATCTCCACCTCTAGCCTCCCGAAAAAGTAGTGGGGAATCAAACTTCCCACCTCTTCTCCCGAAGGCCTCCCGAAGGCCCGATGGTTGATACTATCTATACGACGAACCATACCTTCGTATGAATTAAAGAATTCCCAACTTCAAAAACCCACTCGAAATATCTTACTTGCATAATCAAAAGAATAACGGCATTTAGAAATACCCTCAACACATCGAGATCACATCTTTTCCGGGCTCGCTCCATCATTCAAAATCTCAACGATTCCCTCATGGCATATCGTCCCGGATCGTACCACCGAGAATCGAATTCCCCCCCCTTCCCACTCACCATCGCTGGACCAGTCAAAATCATTCCCAATCCCATTGATTCAGTTTGGTTTTCCTACGCTGCCCTTTTTTTTTTTTTTTTTTTTTTTTTGGGTGGGAGGGATGGCTTTCCTATGTCAAAAAGCGGTGCACGTTTTCTTTAGATTTTTTGTTGCACAAAGAGAGGGGCGGCGTTGAGTGATTGACCCGCTCTCGTCACCCCTCTCTTCTCCACCATCCGATTTTTCTCCCTCCCTCCCTCTTTTTCCCTTTTTCTAAAAAAAATTAAATATTAGATTTATTAATTGAATTTATTTAATTTGTTTTCTCCGCTTTTTTTATTGTATTTTCTCGCTCACAAATAAAACCCGCGCATCTCTCTCTCTCTCTCTCTCTCGCTCTCGCGTAGGCTAAGGGCCAACCTCCCTCCTCATTCGTAACCAAGAAGAAGAAGAAGAAGAAGAAGAAGCGGCGATTCGCGGGCGCTCGCCATGGCCGCATTCCGGTTCCGCCCCCGCTCCTGACCTCCGCTCCTCCGCAGCCGCCGCCGCCGCCGCCGCCGCCGATCGGATTCGCCCGAGGTGAGGCGCCGGGGTTCGTGTGTCTTTCTTCGTTGCTCGCGCTTTGAGATGCTCTGGTTCGGCGATGTCCGTCTTTGCCGTTTGTTTGCTTGTTTGTTTGTTTTTGTTCGTAGCTGCTTTGGCGTTCGTTTCCCCCCCGTGGATCTGAGAAGCCGAGAGGGAGAGGATTTCTTTTCTGGGATCGTTTGCGTGCGAAAAAGGGTGTTGGTTTTGTTTATTCGCGCGTTGTTGTTGTTGTTGGAGATGCTCGAGCTCGTAGCTGCGAGTTGTTTTCGGTTTCTA